ATGTTTTTATGTGGTCCAAATGGGAAAAATGTATGTGGTTTTGTAACACTGTTTTTAATTGAGAGAAACTGGCTTCCAGGACTGACAAATATGCTTGGTTGTGTAAAGTGATTCTGATTATTGCCAGAATCTGTCATCCCAGGGATGCTGATTATATGTAAAAATTTACTGTCCCAGGCCTTCTCTTTTTGGGTTGACATACAGGGTATTTCTGTGGTAGAGAAAAGAATGAATTTAAGTGTATGATTTTCATTTGTTTATTGATTTTAAAACCAGAATCTCAGGTCCTTACTCAGTTTTGAAGAAGTCTTGATTTGGGACAGGCCCCTTGTCAGTGTCAGCTTCTCCTAAGCGAGGACATCAGGACTGGGATCAGTAGTCTTTTGGTTGAGTGCAGACTGGATTAAAATTAAGAAGAGTCTCAGAATTTGTTCCATGCAGAATAACCTTTCTGTGGTGCTCGCTCTGCTACCTGGAATAGTTATCTTTCCTGTGAAGAAAAGTCTCCAGCTCTTCAGAGATCAACTTTATCAGCACTTTATTATCAGTTTATGATTTTTCAGTTCATCTGATTCTGAGGAAATCACTGCTACAATTCTTTGATTTACAGCTGGAATCTTAAGAGGCTCCAAATTATTGTTTTATCCGAGAGAAAAATGTATTTTTTGAGTGCTAAGGACTTTCTCCCAGCTTTCTGATTACTGTGTAAAAATGTGCTGTCTGGCATGCTGAGCCAGCCACCGATAATCGCTAACAGTATAGCTGAATCATTTTGGTTGTATAGAAACATCATTACTATGGAGTATCAAAACATTAGCTAACAAGTTGAGCAGAGCGTCTCCTGCCATACTGACATGTGCAGCTTGTTTGCGCTCCAAATGAAAACCACGCAATGGTAAGCTGCCAATACACTACAGCTGATTATTTAAAAAAAACCCCGGATGATTGTGTTCATATTGGAGACTGGCACCCCTTGTGAGTATGCACTTTTTATGTAGCCGTCTTATATCAATGGAAAACTGAAAGTCTTTCCTCTGCACTTGTGATTCCCATAAATATTGACAAGAGTTACAGGCCATGTTGTTTGTGGACTGTACTCTCTGGAGTTCAAATTTTGTAATGTTTGTAGACTTTTTGCCATCTTTTTTTTAACTGTTATCTGATATTGTCATCTGATATCATATTACAAATAAATAAAGAGCAAAGAAAAGGCAGAACAGCTCTAGAGAACCACATGAGCACACAGGATAAACCATATTTTGAAAGCAACACATTGCTACGAACACTCAGGCCTTACTACTTCATTGCTAATATTTCCCTTTCTGAATCACTTCTTCATTTACTTACGCAGCTCCCATCTGAGCTACAGTTTTTGTGCTCTGTAGAAGAATTCATTTGATTTGACTTCCATTTATTTAAGTGCATGTTGACATCCATTTATTTATTTAAATGTGAATGCGTGAGCTTATCAGAGTTAGAACAAAAGATGTGAAGCCTGTTGGCTTGTTGTTAAGAAACATTACAGTATTAATTACTATTTTTCATCAGGTTGCTTGTCTGATTTCAGTTTGTATATCCCTAATGACAGAATCTTTTCTGTGTCTGGCTGTTCCGAACAGCACCTTGATTAAGAACATGGTAACATAATCCAGCAGGCTGCTGGATGAGGCCAGCGGTCATCCAGTACTCTTGTCTCTAGCAGTGTCTGTAAGGGATGCTGCACAGGGAGAGCACATGAGCCTGACCACTTTTTGTTGTACTCCCCTGTCATCTACTTTTGTTGGGCTAGGAGTGCTAGAGGTGACACTTTTTGTGTCTTTACAAAAAAAAAAATAACTTTACCTGTTCTTTTTCTTGTCTGTTTTTGGTCTTGTCCATAATTTGTCTTATCCTTTTATGAACCTGCTGACACGGTTTGGGACCACAGTGTTCATGACAGCAGGTTTACAACCTGCTGTGTAAAGAACGGATTACGAATCCACTGTAATTATCACCGTCTCTACAGAAGTAACACAGGAGTGTCCTAAACGCAGACCAGACGTCCGTTGTACCTTGGGCTATAGCAACCTAGCACAAAATGATGACTCTTGTTCCAAGGAGCCTACTATGGATTTTAAGCATCCTTGAGCAGAACTGCAGTTACAGAAACCTTTGGGCCTGTGCTGAGTGCCTATTTCAGTACCTTTAGTAATGTTGTTCACTAAACCTGAACCTAGTCTAGGGGTGTCTACATTAGCCTGGAGTACACCCCTTATTGGTCCTTGTGTTATAGGTTTTTTTTTTTTTAGTGGACTTTCCTACCTCCTTTGAGCTGGTGGAAAGGAAGGAGGCCTGGAGGGGATACTCTTAAAATGCATAGCTAATGCTTAACTTAACTCTCCCCATGTTCCCTGGAGGTGTGGGAGGAGGTGCTGGCCAGTAGGTATGTTCCTGGTAAAGCAGTTCCAGCTGCAGGGCGTTTCGCACTGTGGTCCCCCTTTCATGCAGCAGCTAAGAGTATTTTGTGGCACGTCTGCCTACCAGGCTGCTTATGCTGCTGCACAGACTAATTCTAGACCTCTTAATGTATTTTGGTATTACACAGGGGTTTTGGTGTCATTTTTCTGTCTGATATATAGCCCTATCATGTTAAAGTCTCTGTCCTGAGGAGCCTGCTGCCTAAAACAGGACAACCATAGAATCATGGAATGGTTTGGGTGGGAAGGGACCTTAAAGACCATCTAGTTCCAACCCCCCTGCCATGGGCAGGGACACCTTCCACTAGACCAGGTTGCTCAAAGCCTCATCCAGCCTGGCCTTGAACACTTCCAGGGATGGGGCATCCACAGCTTCTCTGGGCAACCTGTTCTGGTGCCTCACCACCCTCTCTGTCAAGAATTTCTTCCTGATGTGCAGTCTAAATCTACCCTCTTTCAATTTAAACCTGTTACCCCTTGTCCTGTCACTACAACAACCTGCTTCTGGATGAACTGGGGTCATTGCTGGTACGGTCCAAAGCACTTGCTCCTTTTCCTCTTCCTGAGGCTCAGCATTTTCCTTTCAAATCTTCAGAAAAAAACCCTACTCTTGTCAGAGCGCAGACAAATTTCAAGATTAGACTTCACCTCCAAATGAGCGTAACATGCTGCTGAATGACGCGGCAGCTTTAGCCAAGACCCGCCTGTTGACACAGTCAAAGTCATGGTCTCTTTACACTTGGCGATCGCTCTCAGTGCTATTGTTCCAGGCACCAAAGGACAAGCTTGCTTTGACATTTCCAGCCAACTGAGTTGTGGTGCCATGCAGCGCTCTTCTCGCCGCACCAAGGACATTGCCATCCCAACAGCAGGCACCCCAACCTTCTTCTTTCCCGTTTCCTTAACGTCAGGCTTTTGGTGAGGCCCGTTGGACTCCTTGACCCCCCTCTAGTGGGTAGCTGATGCATAGGCCAGGCTCTGCGTTCGGTAATGCAATGCTTTGACTTGGTGGTTGGTGGTATGGTAGTTCCCTCTCTGATAATCTGAATGGTGGAGGCTGAAATCTTGTTATTTGATCCTGTGGTTTTGTTCCTTTAGAAGCCAAAGGCAATTCAAGTGTGTAAAAAAAGGCTTTTGTAGATGATAAAGTACATGACAGCAAGTAAATCCAAGGCAATAGGTAGCTTAGTTCTAACAGGGAGCAATTGTATGTCTAGAAGTTTTGTAGCCATGGGCAAGTACGTTTGTATTAGTGTTCTTATGTGCCAAAGAATTATTATATTTTTTTGAGAAAAAGGTTTCATGTTTTTAGCACAGCAGATGCCTTTTATCAGCATGAATAGAATTACTTATATGATAATTTGCAATTTAATTTGATTTACAACACGTTCATTTAAAACTTTGCATTGACTTCTGAAATTACAGTCAGCAAGAGGAGTCTCCAAAATTCTCATCAGCGATTAAATAAGGGGAGAGTGATTGCTTGAGGGACTGCTCTTCTGAAATACTGAGATGCCCGAGTGAACCCTTGTTGTCTAAGGAGCAATAAGCATTTCACAGAGGCTGTTACTGTGCAGAAATAATACACAAAATAAGAAGACGCTATCTGTTTTAAAAACTAATTTTGCTGAAGGTGGAAACAATATTAGATAACAGGGTGACATTTTAACTTCTTAGACATGTGACCAAGCAAAATACTGATCATGATTCTGCAACGGGAATTAAATCTAAGAGTTTGTATTTTTTTTTAGCGGTTTTATCTATGTGGAATGTGCAAAAGTTGTTGGCAGATAAACTTCAAAGAAGCTCTGCTTAGGATGCTGAATCTCTGCAATATTATCAGACCCAGCCACAGAGATTATATTTTAGCATTAGCACTGGAAAAACTCATGTTTGAAATGCATATTACCTCTCAGTAGATAGTGCTGTCCCTTCCTTCCTCCTTTCCTCTCTTCCTCCCTCTCTCCCCACCCCCCCATTTTCCTTTTTGGTATCCCTTTCACTGCTGTCCCTAAGGTGGTCCTCCAGCCATTTTTCTCTGCTTAACTTTGTTTAACCTTTCCTGAAATCACTTCTCCTACTCTTCCTACGGACATTTGAGTGACTCATCTTGGGAGGTGGTATGTGAGACAAGTGACATTAAGGGGCTACCGTCAGATGTGTGCTTGGACAGGCTGTGTCCATAATCATATTCCTACCTTGGAAGACAGCTGGGTGGTTGAGAGGCCATTAGCTGACATTATTTCATTATTCAAAGTGAGGGGGTTGATAAATCATCTTTAGCATCATTAGCATAGTTATTTACACCTTTGTTGTAGATATTTGGTAGCTGGCTGTCTCTGCAGCTGACCTTTTTATCCTTGGCATTCTTGATGTTTATAATAGGAATCCACTTACATGTACATGCACAGCCATAGGCATGCACATAGGTGTATTCACACACGCACACACATGCTGAGGCTTTGTAAATTGTCGTTAAATGTTGGTGTTTTTTTATTAAAAATTATATTTCTCTGCTGGTCTGTTTTCACTGCTTTGTTTTAGCTTCATTTAATGCACTGGAACTCCACACTGTACAGCAGCATTGATGAGGCCGTAGGGAAGAAGCACGGCATAGCTATTATTGCTCTGTTTGTGCAGGTAAGTTTCCTCTGTTGCACTTGTTACCATGCACTATCATTTGTCTGAGGAAAATTAGTTCCTTTTAATTGTATTTAATTTTTAATGATTTCATAAAATATAACGATGTATGACTGCTACTATTCTATTCAAAAGATGCTTCCCAGTCATGTCTTCCATGTATGTGCTAAATAAGTAATTCTTGTTTAAACAGGATACTGGAAGTATGTTAGTTAATGAAGGGATCATCCTAGAATCACAGAATGGTTTGGGTTGGAAAGGATGATAAAGATCATCCAGTTCCAACCCCCCGGCCATGGGCAGGGACACCTTCCACTAGACCAGGTTGCTCAAAGCCTCGTCCAGCGAACTCTTCCAGGGATGGGGCATCCACAACCTCTCTGGGCAACCTGTTCCAGTGCCTCACCACCCTCCCTGTGAAGAAATAATAATACGTAGTCAGCCATGTCTCTCTGACTCTGGCTCTAAGCAGACATCCAATCTCCATTCCTCTGAGGGCAGAATGGGGGCTGTCAGGGGGTACATGTGCTTCACTAGCTCTGTAATGTGTTTTGCTACATTCCTGACCAGGCCTGCTGTTCGGGGATTGAGGAGAGGAGGAAAGAGGGGAAAAAAAAACCCTACTAGTGCATTGGCACAGCCAAAAACTGGTAGTAGGACTATACTTTTTGAACCCAGGGACAAGTGTGTTTGTCCAAACAGGACGAATGTGAGGTGGGGTCATATCAGTTCTTCAGAGGCGTCAGACTGAGCGTACAGTGAGTCTTGCCACAGACCCCCAGAAAAGCCTGCGTCGAGGAGGCTTAAAGCTTCCTGGGGAGAAGGTGTAATGCAAGCTGGGAAGTTAGCCCCATAATCTAATTGCTGTTGAAGGTTTTTCAAGGGCTGCACACTAGAAAGATTTTCTGTTTTAGTCCTCCAACACCATGTTCTCATACTCCTCATGAGAAATGTCAAACTGTTTTATTTAAATGGGTTTGGAGGAAGAGGTTTAGAGTTTGTGCTTAGATCAAATGGATTTTCTTTCACAGTGATATTATTAATTTGTCGTGTTTCATAACGGGTTTATGAGTGTCTTTGAGTTTTACCTCTGTGTGAATTTAAAGATACATTGGTTACAGCTCCAACACTCAGAACTGCTAAAAGTGGAAGTTAGAAAGTCTTCAGTTTTGTATCCTAGAGGGCTGTGTGGTAATTGCTTATGTAAGTCACCTTCTAATTCCTGCAGAGGTAACCTTTGAGTTAGTTAGAAAGTTATAGATAAGTTTTTAAATAAATCTGAAACTTCGATGATACATTTTTCATTTCTGGTCTCTTACTTTCATCAGAATTCTTAAGCATTCCAAAGGGCTTTTTCATTAGCCAAGAAAGGCATCATATAATTACAACGGACTAAGGAAAAATAGTATTTATGCTGTTTATGAAAGGATCAAGAAGAGGAAATCCAGTGACCATTTTTTCCTGCTAAAGGCATGGAAATATAATAGTTTTGCACCACAGTTCTCCACCACATCATTTTAAGGACAGTGAAAGTATTTTCACTGATTTGTGTGAGAGCCCTTGGTGATTATTAATTTAGAAACAGTGTCTTTGAAGTGTTTTCAATATGTTTTACGCACTTTGAAGGTTTTAAATTGAAATTCCCTTCTGAAACACATGAAAATCCTCTTAAATTCCTAGAAATAACAAAGTGATTTTTTTGTTGACATTCAGTTGTTTCCTTCCAATGACTACTGTGCTCTTCTATTCCAAGAGAAACAAAAAGCAAACTAATTTTTCAGGGTCTAGCTCTCCCAGTCTCACTCGTGTCCTGCTTCATTCCTCACCTCATATGTGTACACCCTGGCAAAGAAATAAGTAGAAGGCCATTCTGAGCATTCCTATTTTGACAATGTTGTTCTGAAGGTAATAGCTAGGGTCCTGGAATGGGTGATTTATATCAGAAGCAGCTGAAATCAGTGTGCAGACTGAACAATGTTCATTGAAAATAAGAATGTCTTATTTCAGCAACAAGTTTCTTTTGAAAGCTCCATGTTCTGTGCCTTAAAGATGTTGGGTAAAGGCAGTGATGCAGGCTGCTGGGAGCCTGGCTTTCGTCAGCTGGATCCCAGAGGTGCCATGAGGGAGGGGGTCTGTCATTCTGCGCTCTGCGGGCAGGAAGAAACTCCCCCAAGCTTCAGAGATGCCTTGGGCCAGATTTGCAATGCTTTAGGGACAAATTCAAAAAGTGTCTGTCATGCTTGTTCGCCCTGTTCCTTTCTGTGTACTTCTCTGACAAAAACTGGTAAGGCCAAACTGTATCCTTGGCATTTATATGCCATAATGCTGCATGATTTTGACTCCACGTGCAGTCTATGCTGCAAAACAGGGTTACTCAAAACCTACCAGGGTTAACTGTGACTCTTTCTCTTGTTCTGTGAGTTTCTGTCTGCTTTAAAGTTATTTACTTTTGACTGGTGGCTTTATAGTGATTTAATTGTTTGGAGTTGTCATGTGTCAGTGTATTTGGTTAACACAAGGTTGTGTAGCTTAACTGAAAACAACTACAGAACTTACTGTTCTGGTTGACCTCTGCCTTGCCTCACGGTTTCTGAAAGATCAAAATTCTGAAACTCATCTTTGCTTGCTGTATTTCAGATAGGAAAAGAGCACGTAGGACTAAAGGCTGTAACTGAAATTCTCCAGGACATCCAGTACAAGGTACGGCATTGTCTGAAGAAATGCTTCCTTCACTGACCAGAGAGAGAGGGAGTGAGTGAGTGAAGGGTCTATACGAAACCAAGAGAAGGGTTTCACATGCATCCATAGTAAAACCACGTGTAAAAGCCATCATTTGGTGGTCTGCATCAATGCAGACCTGCTGCATTTTCAGCATTTTGCCGTATTCAGATAATCTACCGTCTTTGTAGTTACTTCCTTTTCTGGTGGCCAGAAAATTTGATGTCCTGTACCAGTAACTGATTGCAAGTACTACCTTTTCAGTGATTATCGTGGAGTGATATCAGTGTGAATGCCAACACTGCAACATGCTTAGTGAACACCAGCAGCAGTATCTCCAAACTTACCTGGTTTTAATTTGTAGAGGAAAAGAATAGATGCACACAGCACTTGTATTAACTTGCAGAGGGAAATCGGCAAAAACACAATGCTGTCTTGTCGGGTGGATTATGTGTGGGGATCCTGAAGGACAGATAATAAGCCTAGCAGGACTGAGGAGATAGGAGTGCTCTCCAGAATGTTGATGCTATCTTAAATGACCTTAGGCAAGTTACTTCCATCTCTCTGCTTCACAGTCTCTGTCTGTAACATAGAAATAATGATACTTACCTTTGATTTTAAAGGATCTCGAAATGTATTAATGAGATGTTCTGTATTGGTCTGAAGAGATTAGCCATTCACTTTGGTGGATGCTGAATTATAGAAAAATTACAAGCTGTTAATAGAAGGGAATTGAAAATTCTTTTAGTCAAATAATATACGGTAAATGTCAGTTGTGATGTTTAATATTACAAACTTACTGTTTATAAAGATGTGAGAGAAAACAGTAGTGTATGGAAGTCTGTGGTTTCATTACTGAAAGGACAGCCAAGTAGAGGAAGGTCATGAAAGGCTTCATCATTGTGAGCATGTTACACTAATGGCTTCAGAGGGTCAGCATCAAATACACTGTTGGCATACATAAAATTTTCTTGCATTAAATATGTGTAACCAGCTTTCTTTTATTAAGTGTTATCCATTTCAGTCAAGGAAAAGCTCACTTTGGCCCTTGTATTTTAAAGTCATTCTGTATGGAGCCCCTGAATTTCAAGGCTGTGACCTGGAAGGAACCCAGGTACTAAAGGCAGAAAGTTAACAAATTGCTGAGATAACCTTAGAAGTAAAATAGAAAATACAATTAAAAAAACCTGTTTGTGTAGCTGCAAGGACAAATACACTGATGATTAAATGGGGGCTATTAATGAGCTTGCTTTGCACAGGAATTCAAGGCTTAATGTTATAAGAGCACACAGTCTGTTTTGTGTTTTACCTCTCCAAGCATCATCATATTAATAAGAAACTAGAGATGAGATTGATTTGTATTTATTTTTTCAGGGAAAGTCCAAAACAATACCCTGTTTTAATCCCAACTCTTTATTGCCAGGTAGGTGCCTTTGCTTACTTTTGTGTGTGTGGATTATGAGCTAACTGCAGAGGCTGAGATAATCTTGATCTAAAGCATAGCCTAATTGCAAGCCTGAGAGTGTGCCCCATAAGGTAGCAATGCCTTTTGCACCTGGTGGTGCTGTCAGGGATAGGGATGAAGTCCCTTTGGAACCCAGAATATATCTGCACCTTCGTTGTGGAGTGGGGTGGGATACTGTAGTCCGTGCACTGCTGGCAACACTGTGGCTAGCTTTCTTGATGATTTATAATCCCACCTAGAGGTGGAGGATTTATCATCCCACTACTTCAGCATAAAATAGGAAGCATAAGGTTACCCACTTACCAAGGTAGCTTTTTGACAGCATCAAAAGACAGCGCCATAACACTGTATAACATACAAGGAGTAGTGACAATGGGAGGAAAATTCAAATTCATACAGCTAAAAGTTAAAGAGTAACACTAAGAAACAACCACTTCATCTACCTTATCTTGAAAAGAAATGTGACATTTAAAAAAATGCATTTCTACAAGACGTACGGTTCTGCAGGATATCCTTCTGAGCTGAATTCCATAGTGTCAAGATCTTTAACTTTCAAAAATAATCCAGGTCTACATTAAACTCTATTGATTATAGCAAAAGAATATTGTTTATGTTGCAAAGTCAAGTGCTCAGCAATTGGGAATTGCAGGAATTAAGGCTGTCTGTGCCCCTTCATGCATATGCGTTATAAAACATTGTTTAATTGCGTGACCATTTTTTACAGGACCTCTGCCTCATGGTTCCTGTTTGATGCTGATCAAGTCACATAAACCAGAGTTTTCATAAGTCATCTCTAACTGTGTGTTCCTCATTTTCTAGGTGCCCGACTTGAGATCATGGGGTCTGATTTGCAGAAGTGCTGAGTGCTTACACCTCCAACTGAAGTCAATGGGAGCAGTGCTCTGACTGCATTAAGTGCTATAGAAAGTTAACTACTCTGAGAAAATCAGGTTCTAAGCATCTTGTATTGAATGACTCAAATGAGTAGATGCATTTGACCTTAACTTCTCTGTGCCTCAGTTCCCCAGCTTTAAAGTGTGGGGGTAATCTGCCCTTCCTCACCACACTGGGGTGTTGGAAGGGAAAATGAATCCATGTTTGTGAAGCACTCAGACACTGAAGAAATGAGTGCGTTAGAAATACGAAAAACGAGAAAATGTGGTCCTTCTAACAAGCAGGGTTTGAATAGCGTGGGAAAAAGAAGACCAAGGACCACATACTGTACTGAGAAATCCAGATGTTATTAGGTGCTTTTCAAAAGAAAATCATTCATCTTTGCAAGTAAATGATGAAAGGTTCTCTAGAAAAGATGTATGTGATCATGTAACAGGATGGCGTCACAATGCATGCACAGGATGGGCTGAATTAATTCTTGCAGTTCTTAACTTCTGAGTGTTTGATAATGCAACTTGCTTTCAATGGAATTGCTATGTAATTCCCTGAGAAAAAAACACACCAACAAACCGAAATCCATTCACTGACAATCACAGGCTTCTTCAGCAAGATTTATTTCTACTGATATTCCTCTGAGCTACTACAGAAATGGCAGTGACAAGTTAGGCCAACCAAGCACGTTTATTTGTTTCCAATTCCCCATTCTGTCCTTGTCAAGCTAGTCACAGCCTTCCCCGTAGCTCTCCGTGCCATGCTTAACCACCCTTTGGCTCCAGTTCCTCTAGGTTTGTTTCTTGTCCCCTCTTTTTCAGTCAGGCAGTTTCCCCTCCGAACTTCTTACGCTGTGTCATTTGTGAGGATGCCCTACAGCAGCAAAGGAAAGCCCTATGTAGTCTCCCATAGGAAGCGCAGTGTGACTGGAATCTTTGAGGAATTAAACTTATTAAAATCTACCGTGTTGTATGTAGAGTTAAAACTCTGCTTGGACAAACCATTGTACATTTTCTTGAGAGACAGCTGTTTATTCTGACAGTTATTTATAAACCTATTAGTAAGTTTATAAACTTATTAAAATGAGTTTATTCTTAAATAAACATTGGTTTTTTCCCCTCTGTGAAATTCAGCTCACTTTTCCAAAGCTAGGAGGCACCAGTGCATCTCAAAAAGGTTGTCACCAGAATTGCGAACTGAAAAGTTTGGCTTGAGCTGTTTTCATTGAATTTTTCTAAAACCCAAAATGCACTCATCCTTAAGACATATCATAAATGTAGAAGTCAATTAAAATTTGATCACTGCAGCCCCTCTGCCTCCAGAGTGGGATATCTCATAGCTTTTGACACTAGCCAGAGTTCTTTCCCACTATGTTATTTATTTGCTGTGTTAGTTTAAGGAGTTGTGCACGTTATTTTTCGCATCTATGAAGTGGCTTTTTCAACTTTGAAATACTCATCTGCAGGGGAAGGTTACTGTGACATAATGACCGCAAGCTGATGTACATTCCCCAGGAGACAGTGGACAGTGCTTGACGGGTTATAAATTCACTCCTTACCTTACTGCACACTAACTTCATCATACGAGCAAGCCCACGGCTACCATAAGATCTCATAATTGAAAGGCACAATTATCCTTAATGTCATTAAAATTCCAAGTTTCTTTTAATTTCAGATCCTCTTCTGCGTGACTACTGGGTGTATGAGGGCTCGCTCACCGTTCCACCCTGCAGTGAAGGCGTCACCTGGATATTATTTCGCTATCCTTTGACTGTGTCCCAAGTGCAGGTAACAGCTGTGCTTAAAGTGACCTTGGAATATGGTTATGAGCTAAAGGTTATAGCGTGCAAATATATATATCAGGACATTATATCTGTTCTCCTTGAAGATCCCATTAGATCAGTACATGGCTTTTCAAGTAAAGGTTAAGCCTTTTGAGTCACTGAAAGCAATGCAAAGGTCAGAGATGAAAAACCTTGTTATCATTTATCATCTGCATTTAAAATAATTCTTTAAGTGAAAGGAAAAGAAAGAAAGAAGTCAATGGGCAAAAGAAATTCAATTCTTTGTAATTGTAAGCTTTCAAATATCACTGCTTTTTGATGTTGGAGGAACAAAAAAGCATAGGGAGACACTGTGTCCTGGAGAATGAAAAATGTTAACAGAGTACAGGCTAACTGTATTGCATTGAACTATGTTTAACTTACCTTGCTCTTTTTTAATTCTGTTTTATAATAAATGTCAAATGGAAACTACCTATTTAAATTGGATTTCATGTGTACTATTTTAAAGCGGTTTTTTAGTTATATCTAACAGTCCTGTGAACTTTTCTATAGAAAACATTTAAAATCTATCTACAAATAATTCCAGTAAAAACAACGAAAACTCCTGATGAATATTCTCCCACAGTCTGTGAATTCCAGCTGGAGGAATGTGGGTTTAATTTAAGTGAAACTATCTAGCATCCCTAAAGCTAAATGTGTTAATTTTCATTGCCTGCTCTGAAACATGTGCAAACAGAAGGGAAAAAAGTATAAAAGGTGATAAATGCAGATTTAAATTATTTCGGCTGTAGTAACCTAAAATTTTGCTAGTAATCCCAGCCCAAAATTTTAACAATTTTAACAATTTGAAATTGGTAATGTTTCTTTTCATATGAAAACTGAATTCTAGTTCTAATCATAGGATAAAATCAATAACTTCCAATAAGCTTATTTGTACGGCAGCTGCAACTGAAATGTATCCTATCATGAATCTGGTACTTATTTGCTTATGAAAGCCTAAGTCTTACAGCTGCTCACTACTGAGTAAAAAGAAAGCAGAACTCTGTTGGCATTTTTTGATTCAGAATAACTTTTAAAAGGAGAGTGTATTTTTTTAACTTGGCAGCTGATAGTCCAGAAATGATGCGGTGAAATAAGAGGACGTAATCAGAAGTATGAAGACTACTTGCTGTTACACTGAGCGATATGATATTTTGTTTCATGCTAGGTGCAGGTTTTGTAGTCTATTCACTTTTAAAACAGCAAATGCACGGAGGAGGGCACTGTTCAAGCCATCCACATGTGGTAGGAGATGGTGAGGGTGAATGAGAGAGAAATTAAGCGGAGAAATGCAACTTCAGTTATTATTATTATGTACTTGTTTACCACAAGAAAACAAGATGCTGGAAGATGGTGTGAAGAGGCTAAGTCTCAGGAGAGAATATTGTGCCTGGGGAGAAGAGTGATTCATAACCATGGCCTTGGTTCGGTGAGGGGCAGCTGGTTTGTGTTGCTGCGTTACTTTGACTGGTATAAACCCAACCCAACAAGAACATGGCAGTGATGAAGGGGGCACAAGTCATGGAGGGGCTTTTTCCCTGCCACTGACACAGTATGCCGGTGAGACGTGGCACTGGATCAGCGAGAGATTGGAGCGGACTTAGGATCACAATACTTGTGCTTGTCCCAGATCAGCATCAATTAGAAACCACCCCCCACCCCCCTGCTGGGTATGAATGCAGCAGCATTAATGTCAAGGCTGTGCAGAAAAGACTTATTAAGAACACAAAGCACTTTTGCCAAGGTGGGATAAAAATTTTACATGCATCAGATACCGCTTTCAGATGACAAAAATAAATATCGGGACAATTGAGCGAGAGATGGTGATTCTCGGATTCTAAAGTTGAAAGGGATGGAGAATTCTCCAGGATGCCCAAAATACGATTGTGGGGGTGCCAGACTATTTTGCTCTAGCCTAGACAGCCAAGATTTTAACTTGTAACTAGCAGTTTGGCTGCAATTAAGTATCTGGCCTCTTTTGTCCATGTGGCCATGAGTGCCTAGAAGAGACTCCATTTAAGGAGTGATTAGAAATGCAAGAGCCCTTGTCTGGGGAAGATAAGAGGATGTAGTGTAGCATACACCATTCTGAATCATCCGTGGAAGGCTGGTAAAGGCATGTAATTTTATTAAGCCTGCTTGTGGTATTAAAGCATAGGTTTCAGTGCAAATGCATTTCTAATGGATTTAAATCCATTATTTTTACATGTGTCATTAGCTTGTAGGACTTTCTTCCATGGGATACTAATCAACACAGCTTATGACACTTCAAGCGATTTATGTAAATAGTAGTAGCATCTGTGGTTATAGCCGGTAAGAGACAAATCCAGGGCTTTCTATTTTCATTTTTCAGGCCATAAAATAGTCAACTTCTGAGTATCAATAACAAGTAACAATAAAGAATAACACAGTCTGATATGGAATAGGTTTTATGGCCTTCCTCTGATGAAGCTAGTTAATATGTTGGAGACAAGATAATTCACATTCTTGTTTTTTCTAATTAACATAGCAATGTTGATTAGCTTAACAAACTGGGGGTCATAAGGGGGAAAAAAGAATGAAACTGCAATTCTAGTTCATGGTCACATCTATACATTTTCACATTTGCTTATTTGGAAGCATTGGAGAAGTAACTATGTTGGCATGAGCATAATAAGCTGCCCATTGCAAAATACAGAACATTTTCTGTTCCTCCTAAAGACATTTAGAGATAGTAAAGTTCAACTGATGAGTTGATTTGCTGCTGATCTAAGTCACTGTTAAGTGAAAGGAGACTCATCTCCATATGCATCTCACTTCAGCAGCTGGGGTCTGCACCTGTTGGTTAGGTGAGTAGCAAAAGAGCAAGCCAGGACTGCAGCGTCAGGGTGTGCTTTCTTGGAGTCCAGTGCTGTTTCCTCACTGGCGTTCATTTTCTTTGACATGAGGCACCACTTCATCAGAGAGCTGTTGCCTTCACAGGGGGTTCTGTGAGGTCTGGAAAAAGTGTGCAGGCGACTTTTCAGCCCTGGAGAATAAGGGCTTTGTAGATCTGGTTCTTGGAGTTTTATTACTGACCTTAGTGGAAAGGAGCTTATCTGGAAAGCTGCACTCCTCAGTGCTCTTTTTGCATGTTTCTGCCCTCCTTTTGTGTTTTTTACCATCCTCCCATGTCTTATATTGAAATATACAGCCCGAAAACCTGTGTTGACTGCTTTTGTGAGACACCTCGCCCATGCCTGTATGCTGCTGAAATGCAATGAGAGAAAGTAGAAAACTCCATCCTATGGAGTTTTCACCAGTAAAGAGCAGGAAATAATTGAAAAAGACTTGCTCATGCTTGTCTCCACTATATTTTAAAAAAATTGGACATTTGTGAATAATGTGCTTTGTGGTTTGCTGAAGCCCAGAACAAGTACATTGTCTAAGCCACTTGGAGTGGGGATTTTAAACAATGATGCGGCAAGGAGCTGTCGTTCTGCTGTGCTCATTGTCAGAGTTAACTGGTTTTGTATTGAATGGTGAGGTCTCTAGTCCTTTTGTCTACTTCATTCAAAATCAAAACCTACTAAAGGACAGAAATAGTAACTATCATATGGAGCTGGAGTGGGAATTGTGCAAAATTTATGTAGTCCATGAAATACTGCACTCTGTTCGTGGTATTCTCTTTGCTGGGAAGCCGATCTGTGTTCTTAGAAGGTGTCATGGAGGCACATGAAATTCTCAAGCAGAAGGATGACACTTCTGTTGCTCATCTAGAAGAAATGTTTGTGGAGAAAACATGCAAGTTCTTTGTTCTGTGGGTTGTATTCTTCAGCAAATATTTAAATGAAACAGAAGAAAGCAGTATTCTGGTTCTGAATACAGGGAAGTGGTAAAAACTTTCTTGCAAAATTCTACAAAGTATAAGCTAAATGCTTTTACTCAGTAGAAATGTGACTGGTAACATTGTGGATTTACCCATTCACTGGTTAGAATTTGATCCTGACTTTTAGTGTGATCAGGCCTAGGACATCCTTAGTGTCTTCTGGGCATGAGAAAACCTTTGATAAATGGCTATTCCTGTTGAAAGTGTGTGAATATCCAAGGTTGCTTAGCTGCGTGTCTCTAGCAGTGTATTTCCTTGGTAGTCCTACAGGGTGTACTTCACAGCACTGAGTTGTGAGGAGATACTAAGTGGTTCCATTTTAGATGAGACAGGATGAGTGGGGCACACATATTGCCTTATCGCATGGGAATTTAATGGGGAAAGTAGTGTCAGCACAGCTAGTGCCCTTTTCTGACAGACCCGCTTCTCAGGAGTGAGGCAGAGCACCGTGGGTATGGAGGGCCTTTGTCTTCAGGGATCTGAAGCGTGATGTGAAGAACTAAACAGGGAGGCTGGTGATCTCAGAAGGAATTCCCACTTGGAGCAGGGCTGCAATTCTTGGCTTCCCTGAAGACTAAAGAGCAGGCACGGGGATCAGGTCAGCCCTACGTTACTGACTGGAGGAACTGAAAGCTGCTTTGTGAGGAGTACCTCCCGGAGAAAGATTTCACTGTGGGGACTGGGGCAGAGCATTTGTAGTTATAGTAGGAGACAGCTCACAAGTGCCAGCTTTGCAGAGTCTGCTCTTCCCTCTCCTTCATCTCTGTTTGTTTGAAGTCTGTCATTCTCAAAAGATCAGAGAAAAGCCACATTCTTGTAAAATGCTCCTTCCTAAACTACAATTACTTCAGACTTCCCAGAGTTGATTCAGATAGTGGAAGAGGATGCCTTAACAAAACCCATTCAGCAATTTACCAGCACTTGGCTCCAGAAGGCTTTTTCAGTTCCAAGCCTGTAGTAAGTTTGTTTTCAGTTTGTTTTAAATGAACATTAAAAAAAAAAAAAATCTTCCAAAATAGGGATCTGCTTCTAAAACACCTTCAAGGAGCTTTGCAGTTTGTTCTGCTTTTCCATCTTTTCAGTATAAGCTGTTGCCTTGTATCTCAGCTGCCAGAAGCAGAGTGTTGATTTCTAAGCACACTCTTTTGAGGAAAATACAGCAGAGCAGAGCTAGCCTCTAAATCAAGTAAATAAGTCTCTATCAATTCTGCTGTAGAGTGGAAAACAACAATGGAGGGAGTTGTCTTCTGGGTTGCAGGAAGAAAGTATTCTCTGCAGGCAATATAAGAATAAAAATGCCATTATCTGCTGTTTAGTACCTCATTTCTTTTAATTCTGGAATCACACTTCATTCTCCCTGTAATCCTGCACAGCATGTTCTTCATGGAGAAAGTAACCCTCTATAATTGCTTAGATGATAAAATGATTAAATACTTCAGGATCCAGTTTGCTTTCTGTGTAGCTTCTGCTTCAAGTTACAGCTGAGTTGGATAGTGAGGCATCACAGGGTGAGTGCAAGTACAAACGCTCAGGTTAGGGAAGTCAGCCTTCAGGTAGGTTTGCTGAATCCAGCTAAGATAGCTTGTCAGTATTCCAAAGCAAAACCACTCAGAGCTTGATGCTGATACCAGGGATAGAGATGGAAGCTGCTCACGTTCTTCCCTGCACCAGACTAGCTTTAAAGAAACCTAAAAAGAATCTATACACCAGAAACATATTTATTTTGGGCCAACTGAAATGTTTTATATTGATTTTTGACTGTATTTGATTTTCTAAGTACACTGAGCACCTGCATCTACAGAACATTTGAAGTAGTATTTTGTTTTGATCGGAAAACATACTTTTCCGTATAAAATGTCAACAGACTTCCTCTAAAGCTGAGAGTCTGTTCAGAATTCTCCTGGTTTAGAAAATAAGTTTTATTTAAATGACACAATTTCAGGCAATAAATAAACCAGTGGAAAAAATTCAAAAGAATTTATAGTTGACCGAATCATTCCTGAAATGCACTTTGAAATGCCTTTGAAGAAGTCCAGAATGATTACTCTTATGTCACAACTGTGAGGTTGATTCATAGGATGTAATCTACAATGGCTAAGAAGGTTATAGATCCCAAAAGAAGTTATGAAAAAACAAAGGATGAGTTTGTCAAACCATGTGTGTAAACCCTCTTATTCTTCTCTATATGTTAATTGTTTTGACAGTGCTGACAACTATTTTAAAACATTACTAATCCTGTATATTGGCCTTTGTATATGGTACCTGAACACTCCAAATTTCCAAGCTGCAGAAGTGACTGGGCAAGGCTGATTTTGATCATTAGTCCCATAGTGAAGAACGTATCTCAGCTTCTTCACGCCTGTTTTTCTGCCTTTCAGATAGAGGAATTTCGTAGACTGAGGACACATGTTAAAGGTGCTGAACTTTTAGAGGGCTGTGATGGAATCCTAGGAGATAACTTCAGACCAACTCAGCCACTTAGCGACAGAGTCATCAGGGCTGCATTTCAGTAGCAGAAAAAGAAGAACAAAAATAAACGTTTGTTCAGGTAAGTAAAAGCTTAGCAAAAAAATCCAAACATTGAAATTATTTTCATAGGGGACATATAGCTAAATGCACTAAGTTCATTTCAGGTAATGTTCTAATATCCTGTTGCAATTGGAAATTTGGACACCATACTGTTTTATATTATCCTGTGGTATAATAAATAATTTGGTTACTAATGGTTCTTTAGTGGTTGAAATAGTTTGGTTACTCTTAAGTTCTTTAGTGGCTGCAATCTAATACACAATTTAGTGAATTGAAATGTTTGTACTGACTTCAGTAGGCTGTGAATCACGCACAGGTAGCTCACACTTACTTCTTGTAGCTTTGATTTCTTACCCTGTTTTTACAAGACCAGTCATTGGTGATTCTTTCTAGTATCTGTTAAAAACCAGAGTATTAGTTGTGGAAGGAGGCCATTAATTCTCAAAGGGGGACTTTTTTTTTTTTTTCATCCTTCCTCCCTGCTTTACAAGGCTGCTCTTTCCCAGCCAGCCAGAATCTTACTGACTGGGTGAAACCAGTGCAGGTACAAGAGGAGACTAAGTTCTCTCATGGCTAATTTTTCTTATTTCATTCATCAAAGTAGTTGCAGCTTCTTGTCCTCAATGGCAATTTCCACCTTCATTGGCTCACCGAGCAAGAATTTAAGGGTGATGTTGAATAAGGGCTAATACACATGTGAACTTACATTATCCCCACTTCAGTTATTAATACCTCCCATGTCATGTTCCCTTAGCGCCTATCAGTTGCAAGATAAATTCCCTCAAAGCCCAAAAGTTTCTCCTAAACCTCTTTATATTCAGTTAATCAATGTATTAGTATAGAGAAAAACCTGGTAATGAGATTCTTGGAGAGTTAAAGGAAATTTGCTGTCAAGACAGATAGTTACCTTGAAAGTAGTGAGTCAAGACCCCAACATTTATGGTTGCCTTTGTAATTAAGTGGTCCCACCTTGATACAAATAATGAGACATCTAATCTGGAAAGTCTTCAAGAAAAAAATGAATCTGGTCACTTGCTCTCTTTAATAAGTTCTACTACTTTTTAACATAGTAAGATTTTTCACCTACTGTCCTACAATAAACTTTATTTAAATCATAAAAGCTCACATTTGAATCATAAAAATAATTGGGTACTCCCCATTACCCTATTTGACTAGTAGAATTCATTATAGAAAAGCATTGATTTTTCTGTCTGCACGTTTCTTCCAAGCCATATGCTCACAAGAGAACCAATTCATCCAGAGTTTCACCTGGAAAAGTGCTGCTGAAAGGTTTTTTTATATACACTTCTGGGTAAGGACATGTATTTGCACATTAAATTCTTTCCCGGTCTAGGTCAATGATGAAACTCCTTAGTTCACTTCAGGCTCTGTTGTGGAGTTAAGCTGCTTCAGAGGATGCTCCGGGTCCAGTTCCCAACTTCCTATCAAGTTAAAAAATGATCAGGCAGCAGATAACTCCTAAAAAAGTTTAATAATTCAGTGCTTCCAAAAATGGACCCATTAAAAGCGGGTGGGAAGATTATCTTTCCTTCTACATGTGACAGAAATTATAAATGGCTGGGACAGAGACCAACAATTTCATGGTCTTTCCATATCACGTAAGCATTCAATATGCATCAAAACCATTTTTGAAGTAAGGGGTTATTTGTATTTTATAACTCTATTTAATATCCACATCCCGGAAGTTAAGCAAAGAAAGCAAAATATTGTTCCTTTTATTAATATTGTTTTCTTATTCCCGTATTTAATTTTGGGCACATCCCTAAGCCCAATTCGCAATTACATGGTTCTCTGCAGTCACCAAATATTGTCACTTTAATCTTGAAATGGATGTTTCAAATTCATCCTGGCTTCTGTATAAAAATTACTTGGGAAAATCATAGCAATATTAAAGTACAATCTTTCTCAGAGAGTGAATAATGCCCTTAGGCCAGTGCAGGTAATTCAAGTCTGTAACAGTGAAATTACTTGACACACTGAGTTTGAATTTTAAGCATGAAAGAGTTTCCTTTACAATACTGGAATTGAAATGTTAAAATTTCCCTTTTGCTTTTTTGTTTGAAGTTTTATTACATTTATCAATACTTACAAAGATTTGTTTTAAATAATAAGATTTATCTTGGCCATGCTTCGCAAAATAATTTGCAGTTTTACTTTCCAAATGATGGAATCTTTAATGTAAAGTGATAGTCCTCACTATAGGGCTATGCTAATTACAGACTCAAGCACTAAGAAAGAACTGTGACTCCTGGCATAGGGTAGCCCACAGAAGAAATGGCACTTGGCTGTCTACACCTGATTGAATTATTTATCAGAAATTCATTTGGTCAGGTCTTCTCTTTAGTTTTGGATGCATCAGTCCAAATGGCACTGAACCAATCAAGGGTTCTCAATATATCCTTACTATTGAGTTTGTCTCTGGGGAGCTGGAAACTAGATATATGAAGTATAAAAAGAAATCATGTGGTTTTGGTCACTTTTCTTCTATTCAAAGAGGGAGAAAGGGAAGAAAACAGTCCTGTCTTCCTTGCAGTGATTTCCTCACCGAGTTCTCTCCAGGAGGAAGGTGTTGAGGAACTGTAGCTCCTCACACAGGTCTCGGACATCCTCAGAAAAGACACCATCACTCATTCGTAAGACTGGGTAATGGTCCTTAAGCTGGGACTGCTGACATGGGCTGAATATTGCTATGAAGGCTCAGTAGCAGATGGGGAGGTAATAGTCTGCAGGGTGGCATCTACATAGTGATCCAAGAGGGAGCATTTCTTCCTTTCAAAAAGGAGATTAGCTTTTTTTTTTTTTTGTAGTTTTGGTACATCTTTCGTATCACACATGCAGACACACTGGTGGCCTTCTTTTCTGACACGATGCCCCTCTGCCAAGGCTGCTGGAACTTCTGTCATTGAGTTTTCAATATTCTGTTTTATTCCAAGCCAGTGTGGTACAGCCACTTGAAGAACCTTGAGGATCATTAGTTTTCCTTGGCCTTGTCACTCTGTTGGAGAAAGAAGGAGACAAGTACTTCCATAAGTGTATACACAGGAGTAGAAGGGGGTTGCTTGAAAGGTCTAATTAGTTTTGAGTGAATCAGAATGCAGGCTCTGTGCATGCCACGCTCACAAATCTTCAGAACATCTGCTCTTCAGCCTTGATTTAAACCTTGACAGGTCTGAACCCTTTGTGGCTTATGATCAAATGGCATATGTTGACCTTTGATGCAATTTGGGGTAGTTTGTCAAAATTAAGGCAGAGATGACACAAACATGATATATCATGGTGTGTAATCTCAGGTAAAGAAATGTGGAGGTTTTTTTGTTTTGTTTAATGTTCCTCTGTCGTGGGAGATCCCAGATCTCAAAATAACCCCTTCCAGTTCTACAACAAAGTTTGGCCAGGCTCTAAAGGGAGCCTTCAGGAGGGCAAAACAGGTAGAACTTTGTAGTTTCACTGCTGTCTTTAACCAATGGGCTTTAAAATAAGTTTGTTGCTATTCAGTTGTCCTATTTTGACTCTGCTTTTCTGCTAGAAATGCATCTCTCTCCTATAGCCTGGGGTTAATGACTCTTTGGACTCTGTTGTGTTGGTGTTTTTGAAATATGTCCCTTATACAGTAGCTTTTATGTCCTTTCCCTCCTGCAGTTGCCAGTTTTCACATATGTTTCCTTTGAAAAAGCCTTTTCTTTTTTCTTACTTTTAACCTCTTTAAACCATATCCAGTAGTGATAGAACCAGTCAGTTGTTAAGGAATTTGAAGGGAACCTTCCTTACAGATTTGCTTTCAGACACGGAAGGTGATAAAGCTGAGTTCAGTTTTAGACAGTAAGGAACAACAGAATGACAGAGTATTCGGGGTTGGAAGGTGTCTCTGGAGATCTACTTTGAGTCCAATCCTTTGCTCAAAGCAATGTTAACTACAGTGTGTTGCTCAGGGCCATGTCCAGCTCGGATTTAAATATTGTGAAGATGAAGACTCCACAACCTTTTTGAGCAGCCCCTACCTGTGTTTGACCACCCTTGGAGGGAAAGAAAGATTTCAATTTAAAATGAAATTTTCTGTATTTCAGTTTGTACCCATTGTCTCTTCTCCTTTCACTGGATATTGCCGAAGAGTCTGGCACCATGTTTACAGGCTTGATAGTCACACTCAGAGAGTGGTGGTCAATGGCTCAATGTCTGAGTGGAGACCATTAACGAGTGGCATTCCTCAGGGGTCGATGTTGGGATCTATACTGTTTAACATCTTTGTCAGCGACATGGGATTGAGTGGATAAATGTGCAGATTACTCAAATACACCCTCAGCAAGTTTGCTGACGACTCCAAGCTGTGTGGTGAGGACGACACACTGAAGGGAAGGGATGCCATCCAGAGGGACCTGGACAGGCTGAAGAGGCGGGCCACTGCCAACCTCATGGAGTTCAACAAGGCCAAGTGCAAGGTCCTGCACCTGGGTTGGGGTAATTCCAAACACAAGTGCAGGCTGGGTGGAGAACGGATCGAGATCAGCCCTGAGGAGAATGACTTGAGGGTACTGGTGGATGAAAAACTGAACACGAGCCAGCAGTGTGCCCTGGCAGACCAGAAAACCAACTGAGGAGAATGACTTGGGGGTACTGGTGGATAAAAAACTGAACACGAGCCAGCAGTGTGCCCTGGCAGACCAGAAAACCAACTGCATCCTGGGCTGTATCAGGAGAAGTGTGGCCAGCAGGTCAAGGGAGGGGAGTCTCCCCCTCTGCTCTTGTGAGACCTCCTACCTGCAATTGTGCGTCCAGCTGTGGAACCCTCAACATAAGAATGATATCGACCCATTGGAGCGAGTCCAGTGGAGGCCACGAAGGTGATCCGGGGGCTGGAGCACCTCTGCTATGGGGACAGGCTGAGAGAGTTGGGCTTGTTCAACCTGGAGAAGAGAAGGCTCCGGGGAGACCTTATTGTCGCCTTCCAGTACCTGAAGGGGCCTTCAAGGAAGCTGGGGGGGACTTTTTACAAGGGCCTGT